TCGCACAGCTTCTTCCACGATGCAGCCTCCAGCGACGTCCAGAACTCCTTGATCTTGGCAAGGTTGCTGCTCCCGATGCCCTCCCCCGCCTTGATCAGGCCCTGGTACAAGCCCAGGAAGGCGTACGTGTACGGGGGGGGCCCTCTCGTGGCCTTGCCCTCCTTCTTCACCAGATCGGCGTAGGCCGTCGTCTGCTCGGAGATTGCCTCGAAGATGCCGTTCGAGGACGGGCCGAGGAACGTGTCGATCACGATGCCACCCATCCCGCGCCCGGCCTGGGCGATGCGCAGGACCGCCTTGAGCAGAAGAATAATCAATCTCTTCATCTCGCCTGTGATGTTGCCCTGCTTCTTCTTCTTTTGCCCTCGCCCCCCTTCGCCCGCTTTGCTTCTGGCTCCTCTTTGTCGTCTCCAGCCGGCCCCGCCGCCGCCAGCAGCGGCATGCGAATGTTGGAGGGTGAAAGAAGGAGTCTGACACAGGGGATCTTCAATGGGGGCTGAATCGCCCATGTATGCTCAATGTATCGCTCATGCATGTGATCGGGTACGATTGGCATCCAATGTTTGCGGTCATGGAGGGCCAGTCGTTCGTGCCCGCGCGTTGCCCGCGCGGGCAAACGCGCCGTCCATCCATTATCGTTCATGCGTGCGGTCGTTCTTGCATATCGCGCGTGGGGCGTCGAAGTGGAGTGCAATTGTGTCTTGATTGTGCGATTGATGATCGCGTATGTTCCCAAACGGTGACTTGCCGACCCCCAAGACAAATTTGGAATGGGTCCCGCGATTCTTCCAAAATGTGAGTTCACATGTTCCTTGTTCCGAAAATGTGAATTCACATTTTCCTTTTCCCCAAAATGTGAATTCACCTACTGGCCCATTCATAAAGATATGTAGACCAAAGTCCAAAATGTGAGTTCAGATTCTCCTGTTTGCCAACATGTGAATTCACATTTCCTTTTTCCCACGTATGCGTTTCCCCACAATGCGAATTCAAATTTTACCCTGGCCCTCAAGATCCCTAAACTTGAGGCGCAGTGTTCCGTGTCAGATTGGCTGGGGAGATTTTGACACTCGCCTCACCGCTCCCGTTTATTCCAACCTGTTCTTTTTTGCGCCCTCAGCGCACTTTGCCTTCGTCGCCTTTCACAGCCCCCCGCCTCCTTGCTTCGTTTGCCTTCAAGTCTCGAAAAAAGTGCAGGCTGGGAGCTTCAAGTGGTTCCCCCGCCGAGCACAACAATCGAGGATGTATCGCCCATGCACGGCCCATAGAGACACAATTGCCGGGACCCTGCGCCCGACCCCCTTTTTCACCCTCCAAGAACGGCGTGGAAGAGACACGGGTATAGGATGATTGAAATGTCGTTCGCGCGCGTGCTAACAAAAAACTATTGAAGCTTGCCAAACTGTGCAGCACAAGTTGGGCACGATATGGAAGAACAAAGGGCGACTTCCCATTCGAACGGGGCTTCGTCGCCGCGGCAGTATCCGCTTCTCCAAGTCCCCCAGGCGCGATGAACAGCAGATTCTTTACTCGAGGTTCGAGAAACATGCTGGGCATACACTCTTGATGACGCACATCAGTACTGTGTCTCTGTCCATGAGTGCCTTTTTTTGGTGGAACTCGTGGCACATGCGAGCTTGTTCACTAGCGAACGTCGCCTGGCAAGCGGCTCCCTCGTCATCGCACTGCCTGCATTGGAAAACAAGCTGGGCCTCAGTCATATTCACTTTTGATTTGTAATGCCTGCCACACCACGGGGGAATCGCGAACCCAGAAAGCTTGCCTCACGACTGCAACTTCGATTCGGAGAAAAGCATATCGCACACCAGAATCGTGAAAAATAGCCCTCCACGACCTCCTCGCACCCTCGCACAGCTCAAAGAAACCTTCTGCGTTCGCAATCGGCCCGAACATGGCAATTGCTAAGTCGAAGGCCGTGCCGAAATACGAATGCTCTGATGATAATGCTGAGGGTAACGACGGCGATGATGATGACGATGATGGTGGTTGTGATGACCATGATGATGCATGGTGACGATGGTGATACTGATGATCATGACGAGTATGACTATGATGTAGATGGTGATGATGATGGTTCTGATGATGATGATGAGGATGAGGATGACGATGACGATGGAGACGATGATGACGATGATGACGATGATGATGATGCTGCTGATGATGATGATGATGAGGATGATGATGATGCTGCTGCTGCTGATGATGATGATGATGGTGATGGTGATGGTGATGATGAAAATGATGATGATGATGATGATGATGATGATGATGATGATGATGATGATGATGATGATGATGATGGGACTTGGTTGTCGAATCATCGTCAGTCCGGGAACGAGAAGCGCACACCAAGAGGGCGCTCCCGGCACGGCCTGGCGCAGCACCTTGCTGCCGTCCTGGGCGGCTCTGGAGTATGAGAGGTTCGAGGGTGGGTTTTGAGCGTTTTTTCACTGTCTTTTGCCTCTGGGAGGCCTATCGTCGCCAGGATCGTCGCCAAGGCTGTATATCCGCGTGGAAACTCTGGGGAGGGCGCGCCCCTGGACAGGCCCAGGGGCCGTTCTCGGATGTGTGGGGGGGAGGACGACGGCGGGGAGGGCGAGGAGGAGGACCAGAAGCAGAAGAGGGGACGGGAGGCGGGAGTTGGCGGAGAGCAGCAGCAGGAAGAGGAGGGGGAGAACACGGCCGAGGGGAAGCACCCGCGGACCGGCGGTGTCCTTCAATTCTTTTGCCCTTCGCCCATGCCGAGCGCCCTTCTCGAAGGGCCCGTCGGTGTCTCCGAGAACGAGGCCCCCAGGGTTGGCCTGGTCGGCCCTCTTCGGGGACGCCCGCACCTCCGTCCACCCATTCCGCCCTCTCTCCTTTTCCTCTGTTTGTCCTGCTCCTCCTCTTCCCTTCGCGCCTTCGAGAGGTGTCACGCCTTGCTTTGAACAAGGACCGTGCTCCGCCTCCTCCTCCTCTTCCTCCTCCGTGCCGAAAGTGCTGGCGTGAAGCATAATCCCCTCTTGCAGAGCGCTCCTTGAGCTTCACGGGCCGAGCCGCCCCCTGCTTGATTATCCTCGTCCGCCTCCCCGTTCCCTGTCTTTTCCTACTCTTCCCTCCCCTGCCCCCCATTTCCCGTCTCGGGCCCCCGGCGGCCCTCCTCGGCCCCCTTCTTTGCGGGCTCGAGCACTCAGCCCTTCAACCCTCGCCTACGAGTGCAATTCAGGCGCCTGTCCGCGACACGATACGCCTCGGTGTGCTATCACGCTATCACATCGTGCTTGTCACGAGACCAAAGCTGTGGTGACCACGGGGGCCAGCGTCCTGCTGCCGCACAGGAAAAGAGGGCCGCGGTTGCCGTAGATTTGCACGCGACTGGCCGTTGAGATGGCGTGACCTCTCGCCCCCAGTTGAGGTAGGTTCCCCCCACCCACCCTCGTCTGTGGGTATCTGGGGCCTTTCTCGGCCCTCTCTGGGCCTTGTATGTCCCCAAACCCCCAAAACTTCCAAGGACATCTTGAGAACACCTGTTCCTGTTCATTCCCCCCCTTACGTGTCGCTTGTTGCTTGTCGTCGTCGTCATCGCCCTCCTCCTCCTCCTCCTCCTTTTCCTCCTCCTCCCGCTCCTCGTCCTCCTCCTCCCGCTCCTCGTCCTGCTCGTTCCGCTTTCCCGTTGCTCATCATCTTCCTCCCTTCCTCGGCGGGGCGATAGATGGATCCCTCTGAGGGCAATCCCCACCAAGCCGCAGCGTGCTGGGTTCGGTCAGGCACTTGATCAACATCCCCGACGCCCTCCCCGACACCCTTCCCAGCGCCCTCCCCGGTGCCAGTATCGACGCCATTCCTGATGCCCAGCCCCGCGCCCAGCCCCCCTCCAGCACGAGGATCCTGACAACCACCGCCCATCCCAGCACACCCTCCGCCTGCGCAGCCTCGTCGGGGTCGCCGCCGTACTGTCAGTAGCCTCGTCGCGAATGGCCATTCTCTCTCGGCCCCTGGCCCGGCCCGCCTGGTTGCGGTTGCTCCCCCCTCCCTCCTCCTCGTGTCCCTCCTTCTCTCCCTTTCTCTCTCGCTCTCTCTTTCTCTCCTCCTGCTCTTTCCCTCCTGTCTTCGCCCGGCCCCCCTCCCGCCTGCTCGCCCGCCCCGCTGGCCGGCCGGAGTCCCGCTTGCGCGTTCGTCGTCGTCTGCCTGCATTCCCGTTTCTCCCCCCGCCGCCGGACAGCACAGCCTGTCTGGGCCCCGCGTGGCGGCGCGCCGATGTCTGTCCCCCCTTCGCGGCGACCGTCGTCTTCTCTTGTCGCTCGTTCTTCTGCGCAACGGCCAGTCTGTCCTGTCGTGTTCCTCCGCTCACGTGTCGAGCTTGTCTCCTCGTTGTGTTCATGGTCGTCCTGCTCGTCAACCTCTGCAGTCCCTCCATGCTTGCATCTCGCCCGGCAGTCTTTGCGCGCACTTCCACCTCCCTCCACTTCCTCCGCTTCCTCCGCGTCCTGCGCCTCACATCAGCCCTGGGGCCGCATGGGAAGGTGCAGGATGGTCACGGGACGTGCCCTCAGAATTCTGGCCGAAAATTGTTTTACCGTATGCGTATATTGTATTCTTCATCGTCCTCGATACACATCGTCGTCCTCTTTTTTGCGCTGCACCAGTTTCGGATATCGAGCCGCACTGTCTGCCTCAGACAGATGACATGAGAAGCCCGACTTCGGCGAAGTGGCCTTAGTTCTACCACAGCGAGTGCGACAACACGCAGATTACAGTATATAAACATCTAGTGGCACAGAGAACCAGCAAATAAGGCAAGTTCACAAGGGACACATATTAAACTCAGCGTGCTGGGATTCTGAGGTGAATGGGGCCATGGGAACCATACCATGCTCATGAGGATGACACCGAACGAGCAGGGAATGAGGAACGGTGCGCAGGGCGGTAGCAAAGTGGGTTCAAAGAGGATGGTTGCAATGCTTGTCGGCAGTCCAAAGTGGGACTTCTTAATGGGGGCGTCCTTTGCCGGCGGGACGAAATGGCCGCACACAAACGTACAGGGCAGGTATCGCCCACGAAGTCTACGGCAAATCCAAACATCTCCCTCCTCCGTCTTCCTCACACCTACATGCTCCTCCTCCGCAGGCTTTTTTGTCCGTCACCATTTGGATTCAAGCCGCTCTTCGGGGGCCGAGACCAGTAGTGTCTATTTTGTTGAGCGCGTTTAGGAGAGAGCTTCGTTTTTGCTGTGGCCGCAGAACCCTGGTCTCCAGCCGCCATGAAATCGTTCAGGGAGCGCATGAAGAAGATGAACCTGACCGTCAACACCATGACCGAGGACATTTCTCGAGCCGGGCCCGAAGAGCGTGGTCCGAAATTCTCGAACAAATCTTCGCCGACACGGCTCAGCACTTCGCCGACACGGCCCAGCACTTCGCCGACACGGGTCAGCATTTCGCCGACACGGGCCAACACTTCGCCGACACGGACCAGCATGAGAACGCTCTCGAACAAAGGTACGCCGACACGGGCTAGTTCAGGGAACCATCTGCGCAAGGGGATCTCGAAGATTTCTCACAGCCAGCTGTCCCGACTCTACGAGATCAAGGAGAAAGTCATGGACTCCGCGCACAAAGGCATGGAGGTGCGCTTTGCTACGCGGCTCTCCGACAACGAGGAGCTGGTAGTCAAGACGCGCGTCAAGGAGGCGTCCTTCATGGGAGCCAGTGAGGAGAAGGAGTGGCGAGACACGACGGTGGCGCAGCTGAACATGCCCAAGGTAGAGAGCATGTGCGAGTACATCGCTGTCTACGAGACTCCAGACACATATTACGTTTTCATGGAGCGAGCCGAGGGGATGGACTTGTTCGAGCAGTTGCAGCGGATGCATCTGTCGACGGAGGACGCGCGGGAGATCATCTTCCAGATGCTCACGGCGCTCGATGTGATGCATACCACCGGCAGGATCCACAAAGATCTGAAGTTGGAGAACGTCGTGGTGGATTTGGCGTCCCAGAGGGTGCGAAGGACCAGCTCCAACGGCTCCCTGACCTCCATAGAGGCGAAGCTGATCGACTTTGACACCGTGGCGGACTGGGAGCCCACAAGCCCCAAGGCCAAGGAAGTGCTAGGGACCGACGGCTACATCGCTCCAGAGGCCTACTCGGGGGGGTACGCGCCAGCGTCGGACATCTACAGCATTGGCGTCATCATGTACAAGGTGTTGACGGGCAAGTTCCCGTACAGGACGGACATCTTCGACGACCAGCCAGGCGAAAATTGGGTCGGCAGCCCCGCGATGAAGCGCATCCAGAACCGCCTCATGAGTGAGAAGGTAGATTTCGCGCTATCGCCGCTGAACAAGATGCCAGATGCCCAGGACCTGGTGAAGAAGATGATGGCCCTCAATCCCAGGGAGCGCCCGTCGGCCGCCGGGGCGCTTCGCCACCCATGGTTCCGGCAAGTTGGCCACGGCGTGGTGCGCCCCAGGTTGAGGAGCAGAGCCTCCACCTCCGAGGGCACCGGCAGAGTGTCCTTGTCTCCGTCCTACAAGTCCCGAGCGTCCACGTCCACGGCATCTCCCTCAACTTCGCTCAACTCCAAGAAGTCCGCGAGCAGCACCGCAAGCTCCTGTGCGGAGAAGGTGCTGCTGCCCGGCGAGCCGGAGTGAGGCCTAGACCAAACGCCTTCAGTTGTGTGGAGGGGGGCGGAGGAGGCGGAGGAGGAGGAGGAGGAGGAGGAGGAGGGAGGAGGGAGGAGGGAGGAGTGGAGGAGGGAGGAGTGGAGGCAAGAGGGAGGAGGGAGGAGGGAGGAGGCAAGAGGGAGGAGGGAGGGAGGAGGGAGGAGGGAGGAGGGAGGAGGGAGGAGGGAGGGAGGAGGGAGGAGGGAGGAGGGAGGAGGGTGGGAGTGAGAATGGGGGGGAGGACTTGTCCCTGGGTGGATTGAGCCACCAGTGCAGCAGCTCTCGTCCCGCACGCTGCCCTGCCGTGCTGTGGCGACGAAGCTGGGCGGTGCGCCGCGGAGGGGGCGCGCGACAGGTGGGAGACGGGAGTTGGAGAAGAAGGACCGTGACGCACACCTCACCCCACCGTCAGCAGGCTGATCAGACCTGCCGGGGAAGATTACCGCTTAGTGCAATTATCAGTATATCGTACAAGAAGACATGCAAAGGCAATATAATTCGTATGACAAGTCGACAGGATGCAACATGAGCTCATAATTTGTATGGCTACTTTGCGCACGCACAAACAATGACTTCGCGGACTCATACACTGGATCTACAAATACCTCTTGCGCGATTGCTTCACAGACTCATATCTGAAAACCTCTGTCGTGCAGTGGTCTGGCATGCGCGGGGCACGCTGCCGATTGCCGGCGGTGGCGCCCACTCTGCCTTTGACATGGTTCCAATGGCAGCTCTGCTCATGTGCGTCGGCCTCTCCGGAGCCGCCGCCGAAGGCATAGACTTCGACTTCGAGATCGCCTTCGGGACCTTCTTGTTCAAGGTGCGGTTGGCACGCTTCCGCACGAGCTGGGCCGCGTTGCTTGCCTTGCGCTGAAGAACCCGTGCCTTCACAGGCGGGAGATCTTCATGGGGTTGCACAGCAGCTTGAGACAGCAGCGCCCTGTCCGGTAATCTGGACGGAGCTCCTTAAGCACGAGACCGCTCTCGAGCATCAACGAAATCTTGCTGGTGCCAACCTTCCGGCGGACCATCTCCTGCAAGATGCCAAAACGCTCGTCCCTATCTACGCTGACCTAGAAAGTTGTGCCTGCAAGAGGGTTCGTGCAGATGACCCGGAAACGGTCGTCATCGGACTTGTCGACGTCAATCTTGAACACCTTCACCGGGTCGGTCGCGCCAGCTTCGCCAGCAGGGGCTGGCGGCGCGGGCGGCGGAGGCCGCTGGTCCTTGGCAGCCCTGCGGCGCTCCTTATCACGGCGCCACGCCATCCAAGTGGCGACCTTTGCACGGATGTCGGCCCGCAGACGGACGGATCCAGCTGGGCGAGACACCTCGCCACGACTGTCCCCTATCCCGTCTTGCTGGGTGCGCCTCGGTGCGCAGACGATCCCGGAGAACCTCCGCCTTGCTTAGCTGCTACCCTCGGAGGTCCTGGAGCACCAGCCGCCTCTCCGCCTGCGCCGGCCTTGTCGGGTCGCACGCCTGGGCCAGGCGCTCGAAGCCGCGGGCGTTGTCCAGCACGGCCGCAAAAGCCGCCGACTTTGCCGCCCGCTGGCGGGCAGTAAGCATGGCTGCCGACGGGGACGAAGACGAAGACGAAGACGAAGACGAAGTAGAGGTGACATTTGTTGCGTGGTGGAAGTCCCGCCCGCACAGGATGTGTCGTGTCGCGCCAGAGTCCGCAATCATGCAAAATTTGTCCGCCGCAGCGGCACTGGCGCCCAAAATGAGCGCAGGGACGGGGAGACGCGTGACTTGTCCCGAAAGTCGTTGCATGAGCTTTTTTACTTAACAGCGAAGACTGATAGGTTTCTAGTGGTCTCAAAAGAGAGCATCATGACTCCTCAGGGGGGTCGGGGCGGGACCCGGGGCAGCTGCCGCCGAAGCCCAACTCGCGTGGGACATCCTCGCAAAATCGCTCTTGGCGCTGCTAGAACTCTATTCCCGGCGGACATTTTGGATGCCCGGAGCCAACTGTAGGCCACTTCGTGGTCTTCGAGTTCCCAGAACTCCATTCCCGGGCCACATTTTGGATGCCCGGAGCCAACTGTAGGCCACTTCGTGGTCTTCGAGTTCCCAGAACTCCATTCCCGGGCCACATTTTGGATGCCCGGAGCCAACTGTAGGCCACTTCGTGGTCTTCGAGTTCCCAGAACTCCATTCCTGGGCATGATTTTGAATGCCCGGAGCCAACTGTAGGCCACTTCGTGTTCTTCGAGTTCCCAGAACTCCATTCCCGGGCCACATTTTGAATGCTGAGGCAGGCTGATGCTGAGGCTGAGGCAGGCTGAGGCTGAGGCAGGCTGAGGCTGAGGCCGAGGCTGAAGGCAGACTGAGGCTGAGGCTGAAGCAGGCTGAGGCTGAGGCTGAGGCAGGCTGAGGCTGAGGCTGAGGCTGATGCTGAGGCAGGCTGAGGCTGAGGCTGAGGCTGATGCAGGCTGAGGCTGAGGCAGCCTGAGGCTGAGGCCGAGGCTGAAGGCAGACTGAGGCTGAGGCTGAAGCAGGCTGAGGCTGAGGCTGAGGCAGGCTGAGGCTGAGGCAGGCTGAGGCTGAGGCTGAGGCAGGCTGAGGCTGAGGCTGTGACTGCGACTGCCGTTGCCACTGCGACTGTCATCGCGAATGCGACTACGACTGCGAGAACAGCAGAATTCTACAACTGGATTCTCATCTGAATCTTAAGGGGAATGCTTCCAGATATGCTCCTACACATCGCTGTTAGGTTGCTTTGCCGGGATATTTTTTTGCTTGTACGCCTTTTTCTGCTAGTCCATGAAGCGCTGGGCCATAGCCTCGAGGTCCTTGAAGCTTACCTCGTGGTTTGGTCCAGTTGTGGGGACATGCTGTGTGGCTTCTCCCGAAAAACTGCCTGACGCCTGGCCGTCCGCGTTCCAAACGGCTGGCTGTTCAGGCGCGAGCGCGCCGACACCGATGCGCGTCCTTTTCCTTCCGTCGTAGCTCGGCGGGGCCAGGTACCCAGCAGCAGCCGGGGGGGGCGCCGCCGAAGCCGCTCGAGCCGCCGCCCGAGCCCTGTCCCTGTTCAAACCCCAGAGGCGCCGGGTACCCAGCAGCAGCCGGGGGGGCGCCGCCGAAGCCGCTCGAGCCGCGGCCCAGGCCGTACTTTCCTTTGAATCCCGTTTCGCGGGACTTGGCGTCGCCTTTACCTTTTCCTCTCCACGGGCATTGCTCTGCCCAGTGGCCTATTTGGAACACAACTTGCAGGTGTCGCGGGGCACAGCTTGTGTGTGCGTTGGTGTCCAGGAAAGGTCCCTATTTGTTGGCCAGGTCCCGTCGTGGGAGAAACAGCGGCCCTTGCCGAACCTGCACTGGCCTATCGGAAAGAAGGAGCACGGGACCCAGCTGCTGTCCACGTAGTTGTCCTTCTCTTTGCCTTGCCATTGCCTGCTCCGGGCTTGCCCGCGCGAGGGTGGACGGCGTTGGCGTTGGCACGGGGTGCCTCGCGGACGCTCGGCTCGTAGATGGCCCACCCCCCAGCCTTCTTGTCGGCCATGGCAAAGATCGCGTCTGTGTTGTCTGGGTCGTTGAGTTCGACCAGTTCTAAGGCTTTCTCCAGGGGCTTCAGCTTGCTGAGCAGGTGCCGTAATGACTGCAGGGTAGTCAGCTTCGACGGCTGGGAGCCGACGGCTTTCAGCTCTTCGTGCTTGGAGCGCCACACGCGCAGCGCATGCTGAAGCGTGCTCTTATCAGTGACTGGCTCGGGTTCACTGAAGCGCTTGTGCAGTGCAGCCGCATGCGCAGCACCTGACCTCATGACAGCCTTGGTGAGCGCCGCCACCATCGCCACGCCGTTCGTGCGATCCACGGCGGACAAGTACAAGTTCGTATCCTCATCCGCCTGGGCGCAGAGCTCGAAAGCCAAGACCGGGTTCGCTTTCGCAAAGCGTGCGTCGTTGTGAACGCGGGCCAAGGCCAGACGGGGATGAGCGAGAACGTCACGAACGGCCTCGGCGAAGCCATCCGCCTGGAGGCCACACCAGCCGGCGAGTTTTGTCTGCCGCCAGGACCGCCAGGCCTTGATGGACGGCAAAGGGCGCGAGCCTTCGCCCCGTGGGAGCGCAGGCAAACTCTGTTTGCTGCCTCCACTGCTGCCGGATCTCATCTCACACAGTTCACGGGCCACCTCCGCCAGGGACTCGCCCATGCGGCACATCAAAAACGTGTTGACATCTGGCCTGCTGTCGTCGGTTGCGTCGTCTTGTGCCTGTGCTTGTGCTCTGGCTGTGTGCGGCCAGGCGTTTTGGAAGCTGATTGGGGTCCTTGGGGGCGGCTGTGCCACTCTTCCGGCTGGGCGAGACGCCTCGCCACGACCGTCCGAGGGGGCACGAACCACTGGAGAATCCGAAACGACAGGGATGCGCGAATATCCACTGAAGCTTGCACGATCATCTCCAAGATTATCGTCGTCGTCGCTCGGCACTGGGATCACAACAGCGTGGTCCATAGCCATCGCGGCCGGACAAGAGCGGGTCCGATCGCGATCCGATCAAAGCAGCTAAGACTAAGAAGGATGCGAGGGGCTCATAACCTGAGAATGGGGGGGAGGACCTTTCCCTGGGTGGCTTGAGCCACCAGTGCGGCATCTCGTCCCGCAGGGAGGAGGGGGTGAGGATTGAGGGGAGGAGGAGGAGGAGGAGGAGGAGGAGGAGGAGGAGGAGGGGAGGAGGAGGAGGAGGAGGGGAGGAGGAGGAGGAGGAGGAGGAGGAGTAGGAGGAGGAGGAGGAGGAGGAGGGGAGGAGAGAGAGGTGGAGAGGAGGGGGAGGGGGAGGAGAAGGCGGAGGAGGAGGAAGAGGAGGAGGAGGAGGAGGATGTGGAGGAGAGGGGGAGAAGGAGGAGGATGAGGAGGATGAGGAGGAGGGAGGAGGGAGAGGAGGAGAGAGGAGGAGGAGGAGGAGGAGGAGGAGGAGGAGGAGGAGGGGAGGAGGAGGAGGAGGAGCAGGAGGAGAAGGAGCAGGAGAGGGAGGAGAAAGAGGAGGAGGGGGAGGAGGAGGAGGAGGAGGAGG